TTTTTTTTTTTATATTTGATTGGTATGTGCTGATTAAGCTGACTGACAGCAGTATCTCTCTCTCAGCTCATGTGAATGTGGGAATAGTGAACGGCAGGGAAGCAAACCCCCACTCCAGACCTTACATGGTTTCTCTTCAGATAAATGGACATCATAACTGCTGTGGATTCCTCATTTCTGATCAGTTTGTCTTGACTGCTGCACATTGTCAAAAGATGTAAGACTTTTGTTTTGTCTAAACTGCAATACTGATCGATTACTGATACTGATTATTTATGATTGAGTTTTTAGATTAATCGACAGTAGTATATGGTTTACAAAGTTTTGTCATCAAATCAGTATACTTAATATGCTCTTAAAAAGAACACATAAAACTCAGAAAAATGTTCATTAAGGCTTTCTTTCAACAGAAATGAGATACTGACGGCTGTGGTTGGTGCACATGACCTAAAAAATAAGAATGAGGGGTCTGTTCGCATCAGAGTGAAGTCCTACCACCAGCATCCTGACTATAGCAGTGATACGAAACTGAATGACATTATGCTTTTGAGGGTAAAGAAGGAAATATTCTCAAGGAGGCACTTAAAAAAATAATAATTAAGCTGCGTAAACAAAGGCAATATAATAATCAATGGTTTAATTTTATGGAGGGTGATTAAATCTGTTTTTTTTTATTACAGCTAGAGAAAAAGGTCAAACTAAGCCAAAATGTTGAACCGATATCATTAATGAAGAATAAAAAAGACATAAAATCAGGTTCTGCCTGTAGTGTTGCTGGCTGGGGAAAACTGCAGCCGAAAGGCTCAGCGAGTGATCGTCTAATGGAGGCAAACGTGACGATAATGAAAAACACACAATGTAAAAATAAATGGAAAGGAATTGAGAAGTATTCAGTCTCAAAGATGATGTGTGTATTTGGCCGTGGTGGATCCTGCAAAGTATGTACAAAACTTAATTCACAGACGCTGTTAATTTATGAACCGGTTTCACGGAGTTTAAACTGATATATGTTTTAAGTCATGTGTTGATCTGTGTTTTTTAACAGGGGGATTCTGGAGGTCCTTTGGTTTGTGGAGACACTGCAGTTGGTGTCACTTCCTTTGGTGATGTTAATGTCTGTAACTCACCCGAGCATCCTAATGTGTATACTAAGATTTCAGCATATCTCAAATGGATTCACAAAATAATAATAAAAAAATAAAAATGTTAAGAGACTTCATTGGGGGGGGGGGGGGGGGGGGGGAGAAAAAAAAAAAAAAAAAAAATATTTTTTTATAAATTATTTTAC